CTCTATGAAAAGCAAATAAAATAAATAAACATCTAAAGCACAGAACAGGCCTAAAATAGAAATAAAATATATAAATGGCACTAAATAAATACATATTTGAAAATTGAAATAAAAATATTAAAATACATAAAAAAATAAAAATAAAAATATTCTTCACTTCAAAAATCATTTGCCCAACATATGCAGTCAGAATAACTAAACAGACAAGTCAGCGACTGTGCGGAGACAGACCGGCCGTGCCGTCTTCACCTGACGAATCCTTACAGATCACACACGCTTGTCTGGATTATGAGAGCAGACATTACATGATCTGGTTTTAATCCACCATGAATATCCCTGTGATCCTATTAGCCTCATCACAGTACAACAGCTGTCTGAGTGACGCTCTACATTAGCAGAAAGGACTCATGACGAAACAAAACATTCTGCAAGTAACATATAAATTGTACATATTGTAGTCTGTAGACTCTGGGATCATAATTTCTGTTTGTTAAAATGAGTACGATGATTTCACAAGCATAAACCAAAAGCAAAGCAGAATGCACTTTTCTGATTGTGAACTTGCTTGTAAGTGCCAAAAAACAATAAAGTCAAAGATTTAACATCACTACCCTTGAAAATGTTTAGCAAATTTAATCATTTCTTCTTCAAAAGTGCGTATTCAATGTAAACACAGCTTATCTTCCAGGTTTACCGGTACATCCCCAAAGGCAATCAGAATGAATCTGGAGATTTCAGACAGCTTTTTCTGTGCGATTCGCATCAGGTGGCGAGCGAATAGGCGATCTGTTGGTGAGACTAGATCAGAGGGAACTTGAGGATCATCAACCTGAGAAGGCTGCTTGACCTCAGAACACTTCCTTCGCATTAAGCATCAATGGACACCTTTCCGTAAGTAAAAACATATTTTACCTCATCATAGACTGGTTTAGTGCACAGCTAACACATTATTTCTCGTGAAAAAATTTGGAAACATTTGTTTTGGTACACTAACAAGACGACATGCAGTTCTGCATCCAATTTAGATCTAAAATTGTTTCACATGCATCAAACTCACAACAATTTGTTCGAATGACTATGCAAAAGCACTGCACTATTAAATAATTATGGCTCACTGTTATTTACATAAGAGCATTTTCATTGATTTGTCATCCCATTAATAACACCGCTGCAAGACTCCACACTTACAGTGTGTCTCTGCCCTTCTCAGATGACCCTGTAATAGCTCTTAGTTCTCCACTGTATGTCAGGAAGCACACTCCTCTCATTGGGCCAAACAGATCTATACAGTAGATTCTGGAAAGCAAGGCTGAGGAAAATGCAATTTGAAAATAAATCGACAAATATGTAGTTACAGGCCTTTTGCACAGGATGAGTGCAATGCAATGAAAGAAAGGTCGCAATTGATGCTTTTCGACTACTTTTAACTTGACTTAAAATGTAAAAAAAGAAATGTAGGTTTAACTAAGCGACTGTTGTTGTTTCATTGTCCCCATTATCTACAAGAAACACAATGACAATGGGAACAGACAGTTCAAATGTTTGGGGTCGGTAAGATTTTTTAATGTTTTTGAAAGAAGTCTTATGCTTTTCAAGGCTGCATTTATTTGATCAAAAATACAGTAAATCTGTAATATTTACAATTTTATTATTACCATATGAAATGATGGTTTTCTGTTAGAATATATTTTAAAATGTAATTTATTCCTTTGATGCAAAGCTGTATTTTCAGCATCACTACTCCAGTCTTGTGGAAACGGATACATGTTTTTACTTTTACTTTTATTCAGGATTCTCTGCTGAATTAAAAATCTAAAGAACTGTATTATTATTTAAAAATGTTTTGCTCCATTATAAATGTCATTACTGTTACTTTTGACCAATTTAATGCATCCCTGCTGAATAACAGTATTCTTTTTTTTTTTTTTTTAAATAATAAAAATAAACTTAAAAAATCTTATGGACCCCCAAATTTTGAACAGCAGAATAAGTAAAAATTTCTTCCTTAAGAAAATCTAAATTAAGTTCCGTTTCCACAGGCCACTGATCAGTATGTGTAAATCTTTACCAAAACAACAGCAAATCCCAATAAATCCAAAGACTGAGGAAATCTGACATGCTGGATTTGACTGATGGTTCTCTTGTAATATTAAAGCCTTTTTGGTTGCCTCAAGCATGCTTGAAGAAGTTTACAGTTACATAAAACTTAAACTCATTTTCAACAGCAGTAACCATCATTTTTGACATCCGTTTAGTGATTAATACATTGCATAATGCTCTTTCCTCTTCATACACACACCCAGAAAAGTTTTATGTGTCAACATGTTTCCTGGCATTAAAGATGGGAACTACCTCTTGATTAGCATAATTAATTACTTTCATCCCATTAAAAGCATGCAATCCCTTTTTAGCAATCGAGACATTCACTTTCATAATCTGCTTTAGCACACTAAAACCAGTGGAAACTCCACTAACATAAGCGAAGCATTTCTACTGAACGTAAAAGGGTTGACCAGCCATTAAACATCTGTTTGGACAGGATGATCTTATTTGTATGCATATACAAATTGTTCATTGTCCATTTTTGAACATTCGGAAAGACACTGACAAATACAATGTCCATATGTATTGTACTGACAGTATCCAAAATGTATAGCCTTTCACATTTGCACAACTTTTAAAATTCTGTCAGAGTCAAGACGTTTTTATGAGAAAATCCAGACAGAAATTGTAAAAGTTGGTGGCCCTCTTTATATACACTGAACAAAATTATAAAAGCAACACTTTTGTTTTTGCCCCCATTTTTCATGAGCTGAACTCTATGTACACAAAAGGTCTATTTCTCTCAAATATTGTTCACAAATCTGTCTAAATCTGTGTTAGTGAACACTTCTCCTTTGCCGAGATAATCCATCCATCTCACAGGTGTGGCATATCAAGATGCTGATTAGACAGCATGATTATTGCACAGGTGTGCCTTAGGCTGGCCACAACTCTATTGCGGTTACACACTCTCGTGATGTTGCTGTATGTGGTCACGAAAACTTATTGCGGTTTTATAACAAGTGATTTTAAGCTGTTGAAATGCAATCAGCAGTGAAAGAGAACTCATTTCAGAATATTCAGAGCACATATTAAATTGCCCCTTTTATGCCATTTCCAATATTGCCTTTCATGCAGTGTGTAATGTAGCTGTATGTGAATATAAACGATCTGCAAAGTTGTAAAGCTGAAAGTGCACAATAAATAAAGTTATTGTCTCCCAAAATAAAGAATCGACTCTGAACAGCTGAAACGAGTTGTTAGTAATTCGAATCCCACTTCCGTGACGGCTACACGTCACAGAGTATCACATTTGCATAATGCGCACCTATGTTCTACACGTTGTTCTACAACTTGACCCTGCCCACAAACACATCATTCTACTGACGACTGCTTCTCTAATCTCGAGGAGTTCAACGCGGAAAGATGGATCAGTATCCTGTTTATTTGGACCAGCTGCTCCACTGAATCACAACCTGTAAGTATGATAAATAATAGATG